GTTTTGTACAGTAGGAGCAAAAATCAGGGCTGCTGGGTCCAAGCCCCCGAGATGTTTGGAGTCCAAAGACTTCTCCAGCAGAGTGGGGGCCTGTGAAATGCGGGAGGAAGACCCTCCCTGGTGTGGTTCAGCCCTGCCTGCAGCGTCTGCCCTTCTGCCCGTTGGCCAGGTGCCACCGGGAGTAAATAGTCTGCCCGGGGGGCGGGATGTGCTGAGGGCCTTGGGACCCTTAAGGGAGACACTGAATTAAGCCTTTGCGGACCGGAGTCTGCCCTTCTGAAGTGGCATCTATATTTGGGGAAGTCTGGAACTGGACTACGTGCAAAAAGCCTCCCTTGGTCTGTGGCTGAAAGAATGCTGAGCTGGAGAAGATGCTTCTGTTGCAGGCAAGAGACCGTCCTGCAGCACTGCCACCGTCACCCAAAGGAGCTGCCGGGCTGCTGCCACAGTCAGGAGCCTTGAGATGCTGAGTCGCTGGGCTGCTGTGCCCCTGATGCCAGGCGGGCTCCCTGGGAGGGAAGGGACCCAGGTGCCCACAGGGGCCAAGGCTTGCCACCCTTCCCGGTTCTCTGATGCCCCCTCCTCTCTTGCAGGCCCCTCCACTAAGGTCCTGCATAGCCTCTACAGCCGAGTCAGCCAGTACCCGGAGCTCACCAGCCACAGCATGCGCTTCAACGCCTTTGTCTTCGGTCTCCTCAAGTAAGCGAGGCTGCTTCCACCTGCCCCGCTGCGCCCAGGGCCAGGAGGACTGGGGCTGTGGGGGATGCCGCGTTTGCCTCTGGGGGGGAGGAAGCATGAGGGCGAGTCCCCCCCCAAGGGTCCCGTGTCACCAGGCACAGAGTGCGCCAGGACGCCCGAGAGAGGGAACGTCGACAAGGGGAACGCGAGAGCCTCCGTACAGCGAGTAGCATTCTCCTAACCCTAACGGTCAGGTGCGATTTTGTGCCGATGTGGGGCAGGCAAATAAAAGGGCCAAATCTGCCGCGACTCGGGTGCCACCTTACCCCAAGGCTGGCTCTCCCCCGCCTCCGTCTGCCTCCCGCCAGCTTCCCCGACCGGCAGGGCTGAGGACAGCCGTGGCCGTGAAAGAAAGCTAGAAAGCAGCCGGGCAGCCAGGTGCATGAGGCTCGTGCAGCGCATCGACATACGCCAAGGCGCTTGTTTGGGAGAGAATGCGCCGGGGGGGTCTCCAGCTTCCGTTTATGCTCTGTGGCCAACATCTGTGCTTGTGCCAGACCAATCATCCTTGAAGGGCACACTTCCTCAGACTGCGCTTCGTCTGGTAAAAGCGCAGCAAGGTTCTTCATCCTTAGGCAAAGACGCAGGACTGCGTTTAACCTTGTTCCTCGATGTACCAAGATTCTTCTTTATTCTTAAGCAAGCGTGCCGTTACACAGAATTACATACGTAGTCTAGGCTGTGGGGGTTATCATTATTATATTATTAGATTTTTATCCTGCTTTTTTTCCATATATATTTTGATCAACTCAAGGCAGCTAACGCACGTAATGCTCCTGCCACCTATTTCCCCCACAACGACAACCCTGTGAGGTGGGCTGGGCTGAGAGACCGGGGCTGGCCCACAGTCACCCAGCCGGCTCTCGTGCCTCAGGCAGGAGTAAAACTCACCGCCTCCCGGTTTCTAGGCCAGCCCCTTTGCCATCCCCCCAACTGGCACAGGGCGTGCCATTCTGCTTCCCAAGCGGGCCAGGGTGCTTTGTCTCCCCCAAGGGTGGTTCTCGAGGTCCAGTGCGCCCGCAGTGCTGCCTCCCGTTCTCACCCCCCACTCGCTCGCTTTCTCCTCCACAGCATCCGGTCCCTGGAGTTCTGGTTCAACCACCTCTACAGCCACGAGGGTAGGTCCACTCGATCCTGACGGGGGAAGAGAGGGCTCCGGCGTAGGCCCTGCTGGGCCAGCTTGGTCCTTCCCGAGCTTCTGAAAGGGGTGTTGGGTTGGTGGAGCCGAGCAGCCCTGAGCCTCACTGTCCTGGGGGAGCCCCTGGGTTTGACCGGCCGGGGTTCAGGACTGGCCGGGCTGCCCAGGCCGGGTGACCGCTGCCCTCCTCCCGCCCACAGGTGTCCTCCAAGCGCACTACCAGCCGACGGGCTTCCTCCCGCTCACGCGCGGGGCCTGCCAGGGCCTCTTCGGGGAGCTCCTGCTGCTGCTGCAGC